GTGCTTTCGATTGGTTTTCCTTGTTTTTTGAGGCAGATATGGTTGATTCTAAGATCTTCCGATTCGGAACATTTTTGTCGATCTTCTATTTGATCAGTTGTCAAACAATCGAAAGTAAGCTTCCTTCTGCATTATTTTTCTATGTCAAATCACAGACAATGGGGTGCGGTTTTCACTTAATCCATCAACACAAGGCAAACATGCACCCATCTCGTCTGACGCCAGCAACGTTGTCTCGCAGTTCAGGCTGATGGGGACAACCATTGAATCTACATACAGCACGTTCTTTGCCAATGATACCAACGGTGAGCGTTAAACCCATTGCACGCATATAGATAGGCTTAATGTACATGTACAAATGTACGTCTGAACCACACGTACATGTCTTACAGTGTGAATACAAAAATCTGACGAACGCAAGAAGTACTGTCTATATCTATCTGATAGATAGGTGTTGTCAGAGCAATGTAGACCAATTAACACACTCTTGGTCTTCGTGCCGCGACGTGCGGGGAAAACATTGTTTATTTTTTTCTTAAATTCTACTGATTATTTTATGCTGTACTTCCTCCATATACAGACGTCGCCTGTCCGTATTTCCGTGAGACATGTGCCTATGACGTAGAACACTGCATGCTGTCGGCTCTGGTGAACTGTTCCACGTGTGGGGATTGTGCTAAACACGTGGGTGACTGTAGTCATAACATCGACATCTGCGGGGACCCTGGTCCAAGTAAGAGCTTTCATCCTGCGCACGCGAGTGTATGTTGACGGTTTTGACCTTGAGCGTGTGGGAGTGTGTGGACGATTTTGACCTTGAGGGTGTGAGTGTATGGTTACAGTTTTAATGCTTTATGGATTATGATGATATTTGGTATGCTGATAAGTCTTAGGAAGACAAAGGTCAAGGTCAAATATGGGCCTCCTGGTGGATGACCTTGGTACTGCAGCAGAACTTCCGGTTTTTGTATCTTTTGTCCTGAACATGCTATGGTCTTGAATTTTTGGTGACAGATAGCTTTTCCTGTCAAGAATAAGTGGTGTGGGTTTGGTCCCCCTAGCAGCTTGTTCAGGAACTGCAGGGGACTTTCGGGCGAAATCTTTGAAAGCCAATAAGTCCAGATAGGAACAGCGTATTTTCATCATTTTTGGTGTGTAGGTATCTGACAGAGAGATGTACATAATTAAGTGCAAATTATGCAAATGAGGACTTTATTTGCATAATTAATGAGGTAATTTTATAATTACAGTGTTTTACATTATAGTACTTTCATACATGTAATTTATGTAACCAAGGTATAATGTCCTTGATGTAACCTATGGCAGATGGAACATCAACAGATACTAATTATGCAAGTATGGCCTAATTTGCATAATACATGCGAAAATTCTGTGATTTCTTAATGGTGAAGGATGGGAATGTCACACTTGGGACATCTGTAAGTTAATCAAAAGTTAACATCACGATGCATATATTATGTCAATGCAGAGGTCATATGCGTAATTAAAGAAGAAACTTACATTTACATATCAAGCCCATATTTCATGGAGGTATGAGATCTCGGAACTCTTGTTTTGATGGTTTTGACTTTGCGAATATAATGTAAGTCTCTATATAGCTATGTTGACGGTTTTGACTTATATACATATATAGCCTAATTTTATTCCAGCGGTCAACACATACACAACCCTGACGATCAGGGTGGCCCTTTCCCGGCGGATCTGGCTGTACGTGTTCAGGACGTTCGTGCCCACCCTCATGGTCGTCGTGCTGTCCTGGATGAGCCCCTGGATGGGGTTCCAGATCCCCGCCGTCATCGGGCGGGTCTACCTGGGCGCGTCTGCCCTGCTAACAATCGTGATGGGAGCAGACTTGAAGCAGCCAATGGAATTTGTAAGATTCACATCCAGTTGTATTTATCAGCATCAATAACTTTATATGCGAGCATATCACAGTAAACAAATCATAACAGTTTCTGTGCTGCTATTAAATAACATAGGATGTATTTCATATCTGGTGGACAAAAATCTTTGCAACATTTTAATAGTACTTTATAATATCGTTGATTGATATTAATCCCCATGTATGTTAGATTTCCTATGCCCGTGCCATAGACGTGTGGATGTCTGGTTGTTTGATGGCGGTGTTCTGTGGACTACTGGAGACAGCTGTGGCCTACTATATCCACCACAGGAGGCTATCAAAGGTCTGATGGCGTTTACAATCCCAATGCCATTTCTATTGTTTGGTAAAGCACATATCATGATCACCTCATTTGATGCTACATAACAGGTCTTAGTGCTGCACAACAGCAGAGGAATGCTGGAACAACATGTCAATTTTCTCTTGTGCAGGACTTATGGAAGAAGCAGCTTGTGCAGCCAAAAGTCCGCATCCCACGGGCCCGGTTCTGCCGTCCTTACTACCTACTGCAGTACCTCCCTCCCCCGCCAGCTGCGCGGACTGTCCGGTTCCGGCTGCCCGGCGCCCAGCCCGGTCCACCACCGCCTCCTCAACAACATCTCCCGCCGCCGGTCGCGCGTCTGTCCAGGAAAATCGACCATGCCACAAGATTTCTCATTCCTTGTCTTTTCATTGTATTCTGTGCTGTTTTCTGGGTGAACTACTTTCTGTACTAACTCAACAGCCGCGGCTAAACATTTCTTGTCATGCAGTACAGATAGATCATCGATCACGCGTTTATATCATATAAGATGAATTTGAGTTTACTCTATGAACCGTATATGTATCTATATGTAAGAATTTATTATTCATTGTCCACAAAAAGCAGAGAAGTCAGATGATTAGAAGAATATTAAACTATACCATTATTATGCGTGAATGCTATAATAATATTGTATGACCATAAAAAATCTGTTTTCCTAATTGTGTTCAAAATTTCCTTTCGGAATCATGTTATGCTATCATACTGGGTTCGTATAATCACATGGGTATTGATGCTTGTCAATTATGCATGCGAGACGTTTCTCGTTTTATAAACGCTGGTTTGTAGAGTTGTAAGTAAACGTAAGTTGCAGTTGGTCAATATTTTCGGACGAAATGTCATATCGATGTTACGAAGTGTATATATTATAAGTATATTACAAGTTGGTGGCTTTTCATTTGTTAGTGATCTGGGTTATAAATTATATCAAATTGACAATCTAGGCTCTGCAGTATTCAGCATTAGATGAGTGATGTGTACTTTAGCAGTTCGTCTTTCGTGTTCATTAAAGCGATTATCAATATTACACGTTCATTACATTACATTACATTACCGTTTTTGGCGAGAGACTGTAGACACATATAACATGCCAGCATCTAACTTAACTTACCGGCAGCAATAAGGTGCTTTAACCCAAACGCCTCGCTGGCTCCGTAGCAGGCTCTACGACTGGGTTTTTGGAAGAGCCATTATAATACACTTTTCTGGCATATGACTTCTATTTTAACCGCGTGGGGTTCTTCCCATCGTAGAGCCTGCTAAGAAGGCTACCCTCTCCGACTTGTCGACCTGAAAAGTGAGCTGAGCATGCAACAGGACCGCTTTACTGTACCTACATAAAGTCATACATGTAAAACTATATCCTTCTGTTCGATGTCCAGTCGTATTTCATGTAAGTAACCTCAAACGTTCCTTCCTGCAGCAGATCCCACAGCAGTTGTCGTTTCTCACCATGTCCCATGTGGTTATATATCCACTGGGTCAACTAGGGAGAACGGAGAGAAAAAGAAAAATTAACTTATTAGTCTGGCATTGATATTCAAATCAGTTCGACCACTATAATTACATATCATGTTGTTAATATACAGTTTACTGCTTCATCGTCATCCTTACCTGTACTTTAGATGCCCCGAAGTCTTCTTTGTACCATTTGAAGATCCTGCTCAGGGTCACAACCTTGTTCACACCATCCACCTGACAGCCGTCACTTCCCTCCAGAAACGCCTCGGTCGCTATGTCCAACTGTTGGTCAATGTCCTGAGGAACATTCGTGCTCTCTCTCAGCAGCGTATTGTCAGACCTTGTTACATATCATTCCTAAGGCATATACATGTAATATATCTGCACAATCAATTGCAACGGGACACACACACAGACAAGCAAACTCACAACAATACGTCCGTACACGGAGGTACATGTAACAAAACCAACACTAAGGTTTCTAAACCATGTAATGGCAAGAATTGTCCAACCTGTGCAGTGTAGCAGCAAATGGCGGGACAACTTCGTGCTCCACACACCAAAGCGAAGTGTATTCGTGGATCTGTATCCAGGAGTGCACACATCAGTCTGGGGTCTCCTTTGGAAAACGGTTTGAACGGCCAGTACCAGCACTTAGAATTTGCCCGCAAGATTCCATTTTCTATATCTCCAAGACTGTAGAGCTCTCCCCCGAGAATGTAGCGAGCTTTGAAGAAGAGCTGTAGGGAGAATGTGCAATTAGCGAATTTCTTACTAGTTTGTTTTCATTTCTTCCATGAGATTAAAATTGGGAAAAGATCCAACTGTAGTTTCAAACAACAGATCACTGTGACAAATTGAGTGCGCTCTTTGTATTGGGAAGATTCGGAGCGAGCTCAACGGATTGAGTGAGAGTGAGTGAGCTTATATTAATCAATTAGGTACAATTAACGCATCCAAAGGCATTCATCTTAAAGTCATCAGTAGCTCTATAAAACCTTTTGAGTAAAAGATGCCTTTGGGCACAATATGTCGCAACAACATTTCACAGCATTACTCGTCGCCTAGATGGATTTGTTCATAGTGTTCGCAAAGAAAACTGCCAGAACAAATAAAGTGTACCCTACCTTTCCTCTAGATAAAAGCCCGCCTGGACTCCCCATCTTAGCATTCCAGTGGATAACAATGCAGTTGTAGATGTTAATGAAGAATGCCATCGTCTCTTCTTTGCTCAACGTTTCCAGGCGAGCCCTCTGCAGTTCGTATGTCACATTCTCAACGACTTTGAAGTTTGTATCTCGTGCAATCCCCATGTAGTCTACTGTCTGGAACGCATGCATAGTAGCATTTAGAGATCCGCCACAAAACCAGTGTAATATATCGACCTGGGCTCAAAAAGTCAACGAGAATTCGAAGATCACAGCTTGACTTGTCAGCCGCGAAAACCGTGAAAAACATACAGACAGACGCACAGACACGCCAAAAACAATACTTCCTTTTTTTCACGGAGGTAACAAAGATAAAATCACATAGTGGTTGCTTGGACCTAGGGTGAAACATTTGAATTATGCTTACACCCCTACCTTTCCGTCAGATGATATGTGTTGGGCGTAGATTTTCTTCATTAAAACTTGCAATGCTTTAGAAAGCTCAACAGCTGTAAAATAAACATCACGAACTAAGGACATTGTGTCATTGTGTATTTTACAATACCGTACGAAATAGCATATTGGGAAGAGCATATATTTACCATTAAAAAAAACGCAGATAACATGAGTATGGTGATAAAATCTCCATGTTTTTATTTGCATTTGATAACTTATTTGTAGCTCTTAATTTTGATTAATGCTATCCTCAGTGTCATGTCATCGCTGCTTTTCCGGATTTAATTATTAATTATTGTTGTCTCCTTTTCAAAAATTGATTAGAATGAATTATGACACAAATATCGTACCGTCCCGCGGGATGCTGAGTGACACTGGCCCGGCATTTAGAGCCTCCCATTCTTCGTCATCCAGAAGCCTGTACAACATGGCGTCCGCCCTGAACTGATGATGGTCACCGTCACGGGTCAAGCGGCGGATAAACTTACGGCGAAGTAACTCTTCTCCTACAGTTCTGGCGCCCTGTCGATCTGTAACACATAACACATAATACATGTATTCTTGTTAAATCAACAGTTTCGATAGCAATAGGATAGGAGTGAGAATATAAAGAAAACGTGTTCTATTTTTGTTCGTTTTGTTCGTTGGCTATACTGATTGAATATAATGGACAGCTAGCCAATGGGCACCCCAAACCTGATACGAGTGTGGTAAAAAGATTGCCCTTTTAGGTGGTCACAGTATGCACCATATTTTTTCAGCACCTTACCGTAAGAATATTTCTCATTCAGGGACAACCACTGAACAAATTCCTCCGCCACGAAGGACTTCTTGTACAGCCTGATGCCGCGCCTGTGAGTCTGTATCAGTCCGCTCCTGCTCAGGTCGGTCACTACCGGTGCATACTGGTCACGATCGCGATCATCTGCCAAGGACGACCCTGTACCACGGAAAACAATGTTTCAGTAGTTTTATCTACACGTACGTGTTGTAACGGCTTTTTAAAACTCTTCTGTCTGCCGACAAGGTGATATTTACATCCATTGTTCATGAACACTGCAGGAAGCACAAAAATCATAGACACATGGGCAAAAGTTACGTTGATAAAATTCTAAAATAATTGTGAAATGTCCTCGATATAATCAAATAATCTAGTGAAGGCGTTATGATTAGAAAGGGTTGGCTGTATCCGTCGAGCCGTAGAAACAAGCAAACACTGCCCTCCAGAAAATCTACACAGGAGGTCACACATACCCATTGTAATAGCACCGAGGCAGGGCACGACTGGAGCGCTAGGTGGAGCAGTATTGTTGATAACTTCGTCAACCAGCCCTTGCAGCTCATCTTTGGTCTAATTGAAATGTATGCCATTATTTCTACATTCTATCCATACATATCATATCATATCATATCATATCATATCATATCATATCATATCATATCATATCAACATCATATACATTCCATAGTAACATGTGCCTGCTTTACTTTTCAAATGTGACTTTATCTCTACAATTTTTCCTTAAACAGGAGCTGCAAGTTACAGGATGATTTATTCTTATGGCGGATTTCAAAATGATAGGTTTGGAAAACAAAGTTTACAGGCCCCATTAATACAGAACAGCCCATTACGTATTTATTGTCATCATCGCCAAACTGAGTATTATAACGGTTCTGTTCTCGCCATGGATTGGCTAAGCTACCATTGCACATGAGAAGAAAGTGTGTGTGCACAAATGGCAATGTTTGATATCAAACACGGGCACTTTCAGATCTATATGCAGCTTCCACTTAGACGGTTTATTATTGCTTGCTTAATGTTACTCGTAATAACACTTGAGTGGCCAACAACCTAAATGTATATAAAATTATACTGTCACTGCCAACATATATGCATATGTATACGTATGCTACCATTTCTCAACCGGTTGATTTTGAGAACGAATATTCAAGATAGTAAATATATACTTTTGGACACTACCTACGACCAATTTTCAGAAATCTGATTGTCAGCTCAGAGTGTGCCGTAAGCTTTGTTCAACGGCGCCATCCACAACACTTAAACCTCTTATATGATTATTTAGAGTATCAAACATTATGTGGACCGATGTATATCGAAAGAAGAGGCCTAATTAGACATGCCGAATATAAGATAACGTTCTTAATATTCCAAGCTTGACATCTACATGTGGAAATAGTAAACAGTCTGTTACAGGGCCAGACGCGTGTTAACACTGATAAGCCCAGATGAAAACTTCATTCATCCGGTTTGGCATTTTGTTCCACGTCCGTTTATCACACGATCGACTTCAAGCTTAAGCCCAATATAAGTGTTATTAGCATGAATGCTAGACTATTCTTAGGGCTAGTGCACCCCTGCTCAGGGTCTAACTGAGAGGGTCTGTGGTACAATTTCCTTGGGGCCATGTTGACACTGGAGCCGAGGAGCTAGCCTGTATACTGGCCCTGGCAACAGTCTGGCACCCAGGCTTATTATTTACCTATAATATGATGAAACCTGTATATCAAATTCATAAGTTTAACTTACCAGTGTCGCCAGATCATCGTATCCTCCCACAAATATATCGTTGAAGAAGATCTGGGGCATGCTGCGCTTTCCCGTCCTGTTCACCAGAGTCTGCTTCTCCTGTGAGTCGTAGTCGTCCAGATTCACCTCCACGTACGGGACACCGAGACGAGCCAGTGTGTTCTTCGCGGCCACGCAGCTCGGACAGCCGAGTACGGTGTACACAAGGACGCGCCCCTTGATGTGGACACTTTGAGCCATGGCTACAAACTTACTGACAGTGGCCCAGCACAGCGATGCCCCAGTCCAAGGAGCGCTGTCAGGAATCGGGCGTCATTTAGATAGATGATGGCCTTGAAACGCGTCAGATGGTGCCTTTTCATTGATGTAGCACGAAACTTGAAAGTCAATCAACAGAACAAGGCTCTACTAGTGAGTAATGGATAGCTTTGTACATCGACCAGTGGTTTGTATCGCAAAACTACTTCACGTACGTATAATCATCATAAAGAGTCATTTGCATATTCTACTGAGGGGCTACTCCACTAAGCACGAGGAGTGCCCCCATAAAGTAGCACCATCGGTTCACATTATGATGAACATGTTAAAAATTCTACTTGGAAAAATAAATCTTACGAAGACGTTATAGGCCCTGGTACTTAGGAATTGGTGCTATTTTCAAAACGGAAGAGCGACAATATACATGTTTCAAAATGGAGTCGCCTGGAACAACAATATCTACAAAATCAATACATAAGGTATACTCAACTCAGGTCAATTTCAAGAAGCCTGTGGCAGTTTCTATCGAACACGGATCTCGCATTTGGACGATTCCATCCGATTTGGAGGGTATGTGGGTACGGAACAGGAAGTTTGCACACACACATTTTCAATGTCTTCGTATGGTCTATCTTGTGGCAAGGACGGAATAGGAAATCGACCTATCCGCACCTGTCTCTTTTGAAGAATTTTGACCATTATATTGGAGCACTTTATACTCTTTTTACCATACGTGTTTATCGATGACTTACGTTTTGCATTGTCCGACAAAATATTCACTAAACGCCCAGTGGACACGGTTACAAGCCTGCAGTCGTGTCACAGGCCTTAATTGGTCGGTACTTGGGTAACGGGAGAGGATAAGCATCGCCGATGTGTACATTACACAGCATCTAATTAAGTAAATGATTGGGTCAATATTGACAGGTTACCCCAGTCATCATATCATGGTCAGATGTTGTCCTCGGCAGGGGTCAACACTTTCAATCAATCGCGCATACCCACCTGTTGCAACATGTCAAATGCGTGAGTTAGGCCACACCGACTTAATATTTATGGATGACATGATTTTCACCTGTCCTCAAAAAAAAAAAGAAAAAAAATCATCTGACCTGGCTCTAAGCCTGGGTACTCCATGCTAGTTGGCGACAATAGGGAGCCGCGGTAATTCTTGAGGATGGCACCCGGGCTTTCGAAGCTCCACGACAGAAGGTCTCAGTACATATCTACAGTGCCGATTCATCAACTCCGCAAAAAGGCAATATGTGCCGGCTTGCCGTATACGTCGCTATGTACTGCCGCAAATTCACAATACATGTACCAGCTGTGTATTCCTGTGGTTTAGTAGCATTTTAATTTTTGGTCGGAATTTTTCTTATTCGCCCGCGCGTACTACTGTGGGGGTCTTCGGAGGATGTCATCCATAAAATTAAGGCGGTGTGGCCTTAACTCCAGAACAATGAAAAAGATATATTCACTTCCCAAAGTTTCGCCTGTACAAACTGAAACTTTTCTTTATTTACTGCCCCACAGCATACGCCCAAGTCCCCAACCACCGTGATGGCTGTGTTGACTAGACCACAGTACAAGTGTGCGGGGCGTGCTTAGATTAATATACAACAGGCATGATGGTTGTTGTTACCTCCGTGAACGGCACTCAGCGTCACGAGAGGTACTGTTTTGTTTTTACGTAGCAAGCCCAAATCACTCAGTACCGTATCACGTATATTTGATTGGAGAGTAGGTATTAACATTCCACCCAGTATATCAGTTATAAATCAGTACACGGTCCATTTTGCATTTTAGATGACACGTATTCACCAGTTCCCACAATACTAAAAGGCATTCTTGTATACATGTACATAAGGGGAATTTTTGCAAATCATGTACTGAAATGCAGTATCTTTCTCTCTTTTTAACAAAAATCTGCAAAATATATACATGATGAATATTGTTGTCTTTTCGTAAAATGCTTTGATGTATTCACTGCATGTCAGCATATCCCCTGACATACAAACACAATAGACTTTTTGTTCACGGTGAACATTTCATATAAATGATTTTTTTTACAAATATAGATAGCTCGATATCAAAATAGAAACTGTCTGTGTTAGAAGTTCAGCGCCAACACGAACAGAGAGCCTTGCGGCAGTGTGACAGGAAGGATCCCCACAGCCGACGTTTCGCCAGCTTCTTGACAGGGTGAGTCTGTGGCTGACTGGCGCCGTTCTCCTGTGTCTCCTCCTCACTGGGAATCTCCTGTTCGCTGAGCAGGCCCTGCAGCGTGGCGAGTGGGAAGTC